TTCTTCAATAGGTGAGATGTATTAGGGTTAGGTTAAGTTACGAGCTTAAGAGAAAAATAGTTAAAACAAGTTTCAAATAGTAAAATAAATCTAAAAAGTCTTTTGTTGTGAATTATTGGGCCTAATGAGATATTTTTTGTTAAACTTGGGATCAACATAACAAAAATAGGTTGCATATAGTAATTGGTCTGAAAGTTTTTTTTTATATATTTAAGTTCTAAATAAAATTATGATTCAACTTCTTTTCTTAAAAAGAATTTAAATTAGTAAATCACTATAGTAAATTGAAAATTAAATTTTCATAATTATTATTTTCTCTTTTAAAATATTAAAATATTGTTTTATGAAATTATTAAATATGCATTCTTTATTTTTATTAATTAGAGTTGTAACAAAATATTTCTAAAATCAATTAATCATCCTTCTAATTTGGTTATCATAAAATTATAGGAATCACTTCAAATATATTTTTTATTTGATTAAAATAAATACTTATTTTAAAATATTTTAAATTTGCATAGAAATGATAAATTTAATACTTTAAAATATTTGAGTATTAATAATTACTTTAAATGTACTTCTAATTTAATTATTATTTAAATTATAAAAATAATAATCACTTTAGATGTATTTCTAATTTGATTATTACATAATTATTTAATTTTAAAATTATTTGAAGCACACCTCTAATTTAATAATACAAAATAGATAAATTAAAATAAACTATTCAAAATATTTTTCTATAAAATAATTATCGTGTATTAGGATTAGATTAAGTTACGAGCATGTTTCAAATAGTAAAATAAATCTAAAAGGTCTTTTTGTCAGTGAGTTATTGGGCTTAAGGAGTTTTTTTTTTAACTTGGATCAATATAACAAAAATAGGTTGCATATAGTAATGAGCTTGAAAGTTTTTTTTTATGTTTATGTTATAAATAAAAATATGATTCAACTTCTTTTCTTAAAAAGAATTTAAATTAGTAAATCACTATTAGTAAATTGATAATTAAATTTTTATAATTATTATTTTCTCTTCTAAAATATTAAAATATTATTTTATGAAATTATTAAATATGCAGTATTTATTTTTATTAATTAGAATTGTAACAAAATATTTCTAAAATCAATTAATAGTTTTGAATGTATTTCTAATTTGGTTATCATAAAATTACAATAATCACTTCAAATATACTTTTTATTTGAATAAAATAAAATACTTATTTTAAAATATATTAAATCTGCATAAAAATGATAAATTTAATAATTTAAAATATTTGAGTTATTATTTTACAGTAATCACTTCCAATTTAATTATTATTTAAATTATAAAAATAATAATCACTTTAGATATATTTCTAATTTGATTATTACATAATTATTTAATTTTAAAATAATTTAAAGTACACATCTAATTTAATAATAAAAAATATATAAATTAAAATAAACTATTCAAAAATATTTTTCTATAAAAATATTATCCTGTATTAGGGTTAGGTTAAGTTACAAGCTTAAGAGAAAAATAGATAAAACAAGCTTCAAATAGTAAAATAAATCTAAACGGTCTTTTTGTCTGTGAGTTATTGGGCCTAATACGTTTTTTTTTTGTCAAATTTGAAATCAACATAACAAAAATAGGTTGCATATAGTAATGGGTCCGAAAGCTTTTTCTTTTATGTTTTTTGTTATAAATAAAAATATGATTCAATTTCTTTTCTTAAAAATAATTTAAATTAGTAAATCACTATATGTAAATTCACAATTAAATTTTCATAATTATTATTTTCTCTTCTAAAATATTAAAATATTGTTTTATGAAATTATTAAATATGCAGTATTTATTTTTATTAATTAGAGTTGTAACAAAATATTTCTAAAATCAATTAATCACTTTAAATCTACTTCTAATTTGGTTATCATAAAATTATAGTAATCACTTCAAATATACTTTTTATTTGATTAAAATAAAATACTTATTTTAAAATATTTTAAATTTGCATAGAAATGATAAATTTAATTATTTAAAATATTTGAGTATTAATAACTACTTTTAATGCATTTTCAATTTAATTATTATTTAAATTATAAAGATAATAATCATTTTAAATATATTTTTAATTTGATTATTATATAATTATTCAATTTTAAAATAATTTGAAACCCATCTCTAATTTAATAATAAAAAATAGATAAATTAAAATAAATTATTCAAAAATATTTTTCTATAAAAGAATTATCGTGTATTACGATTAGGTTAAGTTTCGAGCTTAAGAGAAAAATAGTTAAAACAAGTTTTAAATAGCAAAATAAATATAAAAGATCTTTTGTCTTTGTGTTACTGGGCCTAATAAGTTTTTATTTTTTATTTTTTTAAAATTGGGATCAACATAACAAAAATAGGTTGCATATAGTAACGTGTCTGAAAGTTTTTTTTTTTCTTATGTTTAAGTTTTAAATAAAATTATGATTCAACTTCTTTTTCTTAAAAAGAATTTAAATTATTAAATCACTATTAGTAAATTCACAATTAAATTTTCATAATTATTATTTTCTCTTCTAAAATATTGTTTTATGAAATTATTAAATATGCAGTATTTATTTTTATTATATAGAGTTGTAACAAAATATTTTTAAAATTAATTACTCATTTTAAATGTACTTTTAATTTGGTTATCCTAAAATTATAGTAATCACTTCAAATATATATTTTATTTAATTAAAATAAAATAATTATTTTAAAATATTTTAAATCTGCATAAAAATGATAAATTTAATAATTTAAAATATTTGAGTATTAATACTTATTTTAATGCACTTCCAATTTAATTATTATTTAAATTATAAAAATAATAATCATTTTAGATGTATTTCTAATTTGATTATTATATAATTATTTAATTTTAAAATAATTTGAAGCGCACCTCTAATTTGATAATAGAAAATAGATAAATTAAAATAAACTATTCAAAATATTTTTCTATAAAAGAATTATCGTGTATTAGGGTTAAGTTAAATTTCGAGTTTAAGAGAAAAATAATTAAAATAAGTTTTAAATAGCAAAATAAATATAAAAGGTCTTTTGTCCGTGTGTTATTGGGCTTAAAAAATTTATTTATTTTTGTTAAATTTGGGATCAACATAACAAAAATAGGTTGCATATAGTAATGAGTCAGAAAGTTTTTTTTTTTGTTTGTTTAAGTTCTAAATAAAATTATTATTCAACTTCTTTTCTTAAAAAGAATTTAAATTAGTAAATCATTATATGTAAATTCACAATTAAATTTTCATAATTATTATTTTCTTTTCTCAAATATTAAAATATTATTTTATAAAATTATTAAATATGCATTTGTAGGAAAATTCATTTGTAGGAAAATATTATTTTATAAAATTATTAAATATGAGTCATAACCATTAGCCACTATCACAACTAAATAAGTACAAAAATTCATGTGGAAAGATATCATTTGTAAGAATGAATTTCTTATACAGTAGTAATGAATGACAAAAACCTTGAGCAATTCTTAGAGGGCATGCAATAAAACATGTGGTAACATCAATGGAAGATCTTCAAGCAAACATATAAGCAAAAGTTGGACATAAAGTTTATCCTATATAAGTTCAAATGAAAGTTCGATCAAGAAGTTGAGTTGAGTTGAACCTAGTAGGAAAAGTCTGAGATCTCACCCATATTCAAGAAGAAGCTTCAAAAGACGGGTAAAAAGATGATATAACATAATATTTAGAGCAAGAAACTTCCAAAAATGAGAATTAGTGTGGAGAAACTCATAGAGACCAAGTAGATGGAAAACTAACATCAATGAGACAGTCCATACCAAGTAGTGGATTCATTCCATGTCCGAAAAATTAATACCACATACATGAAATGCAACCATCTCAAAGCATATTATCGTTAAGGTAAGTTATGAGTCATCTTTGTACTCTATTTAAAATGTATAAAGCTTTGAGGTATGATTAGATAAATTACATATTTTTGTTGGCCTATTCACCTTATAGAGATTATAGCAAAAATATGTAGTTATCATAGCATGTTAACAAGCCTCTAAGGTATATGAGTGTACCTAATACATTCAACTATACTTGTCCAAGTGAATGATTCATTAATTCATTTATAAAACATACAAGTTATAACAAAAGAGTTCATATTACAAGTACATTATAATGGATCCAACACTAACTGTCCATATATAACAGATATTTCCATTTTTAATAACCCAATGTCAATGCCCGGGCTAAAAACATTGCTTGCTCCACGATCTTGTTGAAACTATCATTGAAAACTTTCATGAGTTATTCCTTAGCCATACGAAGCTCGAAATTGTTTATCATACAATCTCCATAGATCGACCAACTTTGTCTCAACTATTTCAACCTTCTCTTTGATCTCTTTAACCTCAACCTTGATCGCTACAACTTCATCACTAGTTTTTTGCTCCACACTGCAGTCAAGTTCTATAACTTCTTGTCCTTCTCAGTGAAATACATGTTTTAAGGCATGAGGTCTTGATTCTCCTTCACTTTGGTAGAAAGGGAAACTTCATGGTTAGCAATAGTGGTTAGGAGTTCCTCTTTTGGTTTTTGAAGGGCCATCAATTCCCTCTTTCTCTAACTCTCACCTTGATGATGTGAGAGATGGTGTTCTTCCATTTGTGCAATATAGATAAACACCATTTGAGCATCACCTCATTTGAGTCAATAAAATCCCTAAGACTTACTATTTTTACCATCCTAATGTAATGGGAAAGAGGAAAAACATTGTTAGTCATCATCTCCATGACCATGTTTAGGTGGCACATTAACTCAACGTCCAGGTTGTTAACCAAAATGTGGTTAAGGCGATTCAATGAATCCTATGTTCCTTAGAGCATGTAGGTTAGAGGATGAGGGGGAGCTTAGTGAAACCCAGGGGCATGGCGAGGCAATCTGAGGCGATTGTCGTCGTGAGAAGGCGAGGAGAAAGCGACAACTAACTGTCGCTAAGCTTAGGCTGCTGCTCCTACTTGGTTGGTACGGGATTTGCCACCCTTAGCTATTTTAGCCTTGGGGCTCTTGCCCCCCTTCTTCAACGGCTTGAGTAGTAGGAGCTCCTCCGAGTTTGGCATGAACCTTCCTATAGTCAAATTTTGACCCCATACTCTCTACAAAATAAAATAAGGTTGGTTAGTCAACAAAGAATTATAGACACTTTTGAAATACAATATACTTCAAGCTTTACCCAAGAATCGAGCCCCTAAGGTCTTCGACGAAAGGAACAAATAATATATCTTGGCAGTGGATGAGCCGAGTAAAACTTGAAAGGATCTTTTTATCTATTTTATCCTTAGGAGATAATAAATGCTCAATGGAGACTTGAATTTGTGAGGTACTCGCTAATATAAAGAAAAACATGGTGTATGGTGAAGGTTGAAGAAAAGTCAACGTGACATGTCCTCCTAGGCATATTTCATTTTGAAAAAAACGAGATTTAAAACGCTTAAAAGAAGAAGAAAAGAATGCTAACAAACCACCATGTTGTGATTCGCTCAAGGAAACACACCAACTTCCTTATTATGTTTTAGCTAGTAAAAATACATGAATTTATTCGTAGTGGGAGTTAAATTGAGAATATCACACAAGATTTGAAAAACTTTCAAATAGACCAATTGTTTAGATGAAGCTGACTTGTGGCCACACAAAGAATGAACAATATAGCACATTCAAAACTAGAAAAGGGAACAATAATATCAAAATCTTTGAACAAACATTTATATACAAAAGTAAAGTCCTCAAAATTTAGAGAGGGTTTCATGTAAACCCAGTCAGAGGGAGAGCAAGCCTTGATGGTAACAAAACTGGAATCTGAGTCAAAATAAATATTATAAGTTTTACAAATATCTTCCATGAAAGATATTTAGGTAAGATTGGGAGCATAATAGTCAACCTCGTTGAGCATCCATGCGTACATGATATTTGAGATAGGAGGAAACTAGGTCCTCCAACTCTCCCCAACGATACTTGAACTAGCTCTAACACCCGTTTTATGGTTTTTTAGCCCACAATGCTCAAATGACACTGCAACAACGTGGAAATAGTCGTGGGAAGAGGCAGAACAATCACTCTCACCCTAGAATAGGAGTTTATTGAACTCCCTTCTTCAAAATATTCATGCCTAACACGTTCACCCATCAACGGTTAGAAAGAGCCCCCGAAATCACATGAGGAACACAAAGCCAATAGACTTTATATAAAAAATAAGGTTGAAATATCAAGATATACCTATAAAACTCGAGAAAGACTCAAACACTTGAGGAAGTAATCTAGAAGAAGATTTAAAATGGTACAACAAGAAGTAAGAATGCTAAAAGTTTAACCTAATCTTAGGCATAATTTTCAAAGTAAACCCCTTCACATGATACATTTATTACCAAACATCATTCCAAAAACCATCATTAAGCGTGTGTCAAAGGTAATCATAGTGTGCTTGAGAAGATGAAAAGACACCTAAAAGACAACTTATCCTTCACTCAGTAATACATGAACTCAAACACTAACTTAATAACTCAGATGAATATAAACTCGGTAATAAATAAACTCACGTGTCTACAAGTTAGACTCTGAGCTTTGGGCCTATGCACGCATCCAACTTCCCAAACCCAAAACGTCTAATAAAATAATAATGCACAATAAATTACTTTAACTACCTGGTTACATATGATGAACATTAAAAAGTGTTGAGTATACAATAATTAACCATAAATCAATATAAATTATTGTCTATAAGGATTTTGGTAAGAATTCTATAAATTGAGATAAATACCCTTCTTCAAATCATCTTCTTCATATACATATTTCCTTATCCTTGATATTCATATATTTGGGTTCCTTTACTAACTTAAACATCAAAGTGTTTTTGCACAACATCTCTCTACCTATTCTAGTATTACATAAAGATCGCCCAAATTGACTTCAAGAAAGCTACCAACAAAATCGTGATTGCTTAACCTTGTTGGAGATTTTTCAATTGGTTTTTAAACCTTTGAATGTTTTATTTTTAAACCTTAAAGCATTTTTATTCTTCTTTATCATATTATTCCAAGAATTGCAAGAAACATGTAAGAATCTCAAACTATTTTTAATTTGTAGCAATTTTTTACCATTACAATACTCGCACAACAAGACTTTTGCTGGAAACACGTTCTGGAGTGGGGATTGAGGATACATTTCCAAAAAAGATTTTTCAGAAACAAGTTCTGAAAAAATGGGTTCCAAAATTAATTTTCTAGAAACGTATTCTAGATTGGTGAGTCTGGAATACACTTCTAGATTGAACATTCTGTTAGTATATTCCAAATCCACCAATTTGGAATGCATTTATGGAAAATAAATTACCAAAATATATTATAGAACTCACTTTCTAGAACTTGTTTTTGTTGGTATCGCGCAGCGAAATATTTGCGTGTTGGGACAAAAACCAAGAGGGGGGGTGAATTGGCTTAGTTATAAAAATTAGGGTTTTTAAAATTTTTCCCAAATTTCACCGATTAAAATGCTTGTAAAGTAAAGAGATAAGGGAAAGAAGATTACACAGATAATTTATACTGGTTCGGATCAAAAGACCATACGTCCAGTTGTTAATCACTCTAAAAGAGGATTAACGCAATCACTATAATCACAGTTACAACAGATTACAAATTGCACAAAGATAAGAATAAGAAAACATCTCTCTTGAGTCACACAAGAGATGAACACCTCCTTTGAAACCACAAAGGATGACAACAACTTTTCCTAGAGAGGCACAACACACAATCTACCAAGAAACCCACTCAGTGATTTTTATCGCTTCTAGTCCACACTAGGTTTTCAAAAGCCCCTTTTTCTTCTCTACACAAAGTTCTCTAGCAATCACAACTCTTAACTTTTGTATGAAAAAGGTTATTTGTTCAAAGAGCCTTAGAGAACCTTATGTAGAGAGATTTAGGGTCTGGGAAATTGAAGTTTTCGAAAATAGGAGTATTGGAAATAGGTGCATAAAAAATAGGTCCAAATTCGAAATTCAAAAATCATAACAGATGTAGATAATCGATTATCTTAAGTGATAATCGATTATCACATAGCCATTTTTGTAGAGGAGTAAACTAGACCAGGATAATCGATTATCCTCTGAGATAATCGATTATTCCAGAGTTTTCAAAAACTAAAAACAATTGGGATAATCGATTATCAAGCCAGATAATTGATTATTCCAACAAACTTTTCAGAAAACAGATTTCAAGCAGGATAATCGATTATCCTAAGTGATAATCAATTATTACAGAGTGGTTTTGATAAAAATGAACTTTCAAAGGAAGAACTATGTGTTGGCTATCTTGGATTCTAATTTTACAGACTCAAGAAAGATAAAATAGAGTTATTACAAGTAAATACAAATTATTAAGAGTCTTTAAGACTTCAAGTCCTTTGTTCTTGAATCATCATCAAAATCTTCAAGCATCATATCCTTGTATGTTCAACAATCTCCCCCTTTTTTATGATGATTAAAATATGCTTTAAAGCCCTTTGTAATAACCTATTTTCATTGTCACAACTAACAAGAATATTAATCATACCAGGCTTTAAATATTTTCTCCCCCTATTTTTATCATAATCAAAAGAAATTAAAGCTCCCCCTCAACATGTGCATAAGAAATTAAAACTCCCCCTTAAAATGTGCAACATATAAACAGAAGTTGATATAAAATGTACAACATATAAAATAGATATTTTATTTTAAGTTTGAGAAAAACAATACAATATATAAACAGAAATTCCTAAGCCTAGAATTCTAAAATTCTTCACTGTTCGAGTTAAATTGCATATCAAATCTGTCTTCCAGATTTGATACACGTTCATCTACATCCGAAATTTGATTTATAACTTCTTGATGACGTTCAGCAGAGATAGAGAAGAAATCCTGCATTTTTTTGTTCATGATGACGAGCATATCCTTAATAGAGGAGCGAGGATCAACATGAGCACCAGATGAAGTTTCGGTGACAAGAATATCTGCAACAGGCATTTCTTCATCATCAGAATCTCTAGCAACCTCAGCAGCATGGGGAGCATCATCTTTATGAAAGTATGTTCCATTAACATTTACCATCTGCAGCTGAGATAACGTTCCATCAAGCATCTGATTGCAATTTAAAGTCTGAGCCCGTTGTTCACCTTTAACATCAACACCTTTATGTAATAGAATCCTAGAGATAAGAAGTGCATAAGGAATCTTAAAGGTGGGGTGACGCTTCGCTTTAAGCATAGGCAAGGTAACAAGACTGAGTCAATCAATTGGCTTGTTGTTCATAATGACATAAATGATGAGGAGATCAGTGGTAGAACATTGAGCATGATTGGTGGCGTAGACCCCAAATCTTGCCCGACTTCAAAATAAAGAGCAAAAGACTTTCGTTCGAAGATGGGCAAGACCTAAAAGGTCCCTAGAATTGATCAATAGGTCCCATATTAGAATAGGAAGGATTTTTGTACACGAAAAATAAGAAATTCCACCTAAAGGGTCGAGACAGCCATCTCGCCACTTGCTGAAGGCGAGACGGCGGTCTCGACCTTGTCAGGTGAGACGACAGTCCCGACCTTGTCAAGCGAGATGACGGTTTCGACTTGACAGGTGTGAATTCCTATAAAAGGGGGGGGGGACTTTCTCACTCTTTACACACGATTCTACCACTTTCTCTTCTGTAAAATCTTCAAATTACTCTCCTAGGACCCCTCTAAAGCATTTCCAGCGTTTCTTAGAGTTCTTAAAAAGCGTTCCATAGTGTTGTGAGGAAGAGTGATCATCATTGTAGAGCGTGGGGATTGCCAAAAAACACTCTCTTTCAAAGAATTTACTATAAAAGCTTGCTTCGAAGGTTTCTATATACTCCATCCTCTACTTTACTGCTTTTTTTTAGATAGTATTGTTGTGCATTAATCATTTAGGGTCATGTAGTCAATAATTTAATTTTCGCAATGAATAAATAAGGGTAAAAACGCAATTTAGAGTTATTATTTCTTTATAAAAATGGTCCATCATAGGGAACCCGAAAGGGGCATTATAGGGAAGCTAATACCTTCCCTACATGTAACTAACTCCTTTACCTAACTCTGGTTGTAATGACCAAAG